AAAATTTAATGATATTTCCGTAAAATTTTTATAAAATTTTCACGATATTTAGTCATTTTAACACTACGTTTTACTCAAAAATAGAAATTTTTGTGAATATATCAATATTTACAAAAATATCCGTGAAAATTTAAAAATATTCTGCAACAAAGATACCGCACCCTTATTTTCATATTCCATATCAATACTTTTAAAATATAGAAATTTCCGTCACTAAAAATATCGATATTTTTATCCTCGTCTATACGCAACCCATGAGCCAAGTCCCCATCTCAGCACTATTTTAGGAAAAAATAAGAAAAGGACATTCACTGGCCATGTGTGGGGGGTCATTAGGAAACTGCAGCTAAGGGCCGTGCAACAACTTGTGATGAGGCGAATAGATAGAAAGAGAAATTGAGAAAGACATAACGCTAAATCAGAATTATTCTGGGAAATTTTCGCAATTTGATGAAACTAAACAGGACAAAAAATGAAGAAAACAACAAAATGACATTATCCCACTTCAAAAACATATATGATATCCCCTCCCTCACTGCCTTTAATACTCTAAACTGGTGAAACAAATTGTCGAATGGCAGCCAAACAAGATTCAAAGAACAGCTCACTTTCCTCGTTTACCCTTTAGCTCTGAGTCCCTGAAGAAAAAAAGTGATTCACAAAGTGAAAAAAAACTTCACAAGATCTGGAGATTGTAACTTTGTAACTACATGCACAAGACACTTTTTTGTACCTCTGAATGTGATCGAGAATGAGAAGTCGTGGTCCGGGTGGGATCCTCACGTCTCTAAGCGCACTGAAACAAACAATGTACAGCTATTTTATAACCGTTCATCATATGAGCTCAGAAAAGATGATAGGAAAATAAGTGTTATGATACAGTTTGAAGATACAAGTACAACTACTTGCCTATCTGTGAGCAAAGGCAAAGTACTGTCCGTTAATAGCCCTTTTTTGAAATTCTTCTCATAATTCTGAAGGCCAAGGTTACTCAACATGCCTCTTGTTTTAGCATAGTAAATATCTTCAACTGGTGGTTGAGAAAACTTTTGCCCCAACTGCACAGCAACGTAGGAAGTGAAGTGTAAATATCTGCCGCTATAACGGATGAATAAGCAAATCCACACAAGATGTGCGGTATTTTGTGTAACATAGAAGATATTTTTCAGCAAAGAGAGTCATGTACAACCCAACATGCCCACAAACTGGAAATGAAGCAAGTTCTGGCATTTAGCTACCCCTAAGATGATAAAACTCTTTCAGTGTGAAGCTTACCTGGTAAAGTCCACCTTGAACAAGTGCGAAGAAAAGTCCAGAAGTGGCTGCATTTGCTACCTGGTTGGGGCCACCCATGCCACTCACCAATGAAAACATGGCTCCAGAACCAAAAGCTGCTACCATACTGCAATAAAAAGCCGTCAATTTTAAGCAAGTATAGAGGAAAGAAAATTGGTATATTGCAACACTCTAGACCAAGTTGATGATAAATGAATTTCATCACACTCCACTGCAACTTTAGCATAATACCTTCAAACACCACCACATGCTTTTGTTTCTTTCTTT